CCCCAATTTTAGGAAACTACCATATAAGTCCTGACAAACCTACGTAAACCTTTTGATGACCCCTAATCCGGAATCCCGTCTGAGCCAGGCTTTCAACTGGGGCTACGATCCGGTGCTGTGCCCTGGCCAGCAGTTACCTTCTATCTGTCCAGGGTGCCTTTTCTGTTCCTGAGTTCGTGCCCTTTTTGGTGAGTTCTGTATTTTTGGCACTGTTGGATGCTGGAGGCTCTGAGGTCTTGAACAACATTTAAGTGATGGGTAAATTATAGAATATTCTATACGTATTATATATATATATTCATGCAATCTATATTTCTGTGTTTTGGAGTGTCTAGTTCGAACATTTCAGTGTTAGTTCTGTAGGGTCCATAACCTGCCAGGGCCCCGCGGCCGTGGGCATTCTTTCCCTGGGCAGTTGAGGGCGGGGATTGGACTCCATCAATTTTAGCCTGCTACTCTTAGAGTCTGAGCTCTATTTAAAGGGTACAACGAGGGTCTTGGGACGGGCTCCAGTGAAGACGCCAAGCGACTCCTCCCCTTGCTTCGACTAGCTTTACTCCTCAGCGCTGAAGCCTCAAACCATCTTCAAACCCAAGCCACACGTCTCTCAGCACTTCAATCGGCAGTAGGTACGGCGTGCCAGAGGGTTCCTATGCCAGTGATCCGGATGGTCTTGCAGCTGGGACTTTGCTAGTGCCATTGTTTCAGGGCCGATGTTTCAGATGTTGTTTTGTGAGCACCTGGTTTTTGAACCTGGGGCCGTCAAATAACCCAACAAGGCTCTTGTGAGCCTTGTGGTTGGCCGTCTGTGGAATTGTTGCGATTTGGGCTTTTCTGACTGCGTGATTTCACATGGCCAACATGGGTGAGCTTGGTTGCTGTGAATGATGTGCTGCAGGTTCTTATTTCTGGGCTGCGGTCAGTTCCTTTTAGAAGGGTCTTCTTATGCGATGGACTGAGAATGCGCGACCGCTTCGAATGCCACCATCGAGCTTTCCCATTTGTCTCCCATCCTTTGTCTGCAGATTGCCCAACAGGGCCGCCTTACTTGTAACTCACATCCTCAGTGCCTACAGCCTAAACCTCAAGTCCCAAAAAAGATGCAAGTCATGCGTCTCATACACTGAATCCCGAAGCGGATCATGAAAGCCTTGCAGAGCCCACCATCACTCTGGAGGCCCGCGTGCTGGAGCATCGCCGGATGGTAGCAGGACTGGGCCATGGTAGGGAGGAAGAAAGATTAGGAGTCTGCAGGTTGTCAGGGTTGAGTGGGGGAAGGAATGACCAATGAGCTCATGCTTCGTTGTGTTGTGTGCAGGGTGGTGTTGTTGCTTCCCGCAACGCGCAAGCCAGTCATCCGTCTCATGACGCTGGATGCCAAGCAGCGGTTCTGCATGCTTGTGTTTTTAGCGTGTAGGAAAGCCTAGATTTTAGATTGGACCCCGCAAACCCCATCTAGCAGGCCTCAAATTTGCATCCGAAAAGTTGCAAAGTGTTGTAAGGAGTGGAAGTCACGGCATGAGCCAAATCATGATCTTTGGGGGGTAGGACCAGGTAGGACTCTTCACTGGGCCTCGACTGGGAGATAGGCCCATCAGGCATGAAGGGCTGCAGGCAGAACTCTACACAAATCAAACTACTGCTATGCAACTGCTGGACCCATCCGAGGCTTGTATTGATGGGTTGCCCAAGTCATGGGTGGTTACGCGTGGTAATCTCGTAGTCGAGGAATACTCGCTCTTGGGGGAAATGACATGGCAATTCACTACTGAGTTGTCTTTAGCCTGGAAGGATCTGTACCTCCATGGGTTTCAAATTATGCGCTGGCCCTCGTAGCCTCATCCAGAGCTAGAACCTCAAACTAAAACTTCAGTGCCGCATGCGAATCCTTGACCCTGGAAGTTTTGAATTATGATTTGCCCTCCGCTCTCTTGTAAACTCCCGCTTGAAGCCTGAGAAGTGGAAATGCAGACTAAATCTCAAACTCTGCATATTGGCAGGACTTCACAAGAAGGGCTTGCGAGTGGTCGCGGATGTGGCCCTTTGGCTTTGCACGTGTGGATTGAGCATTTCGGTTTCGGGTCGTCTTTTGTCGCAATTTGAACGAGGGCCCCGAGGGTCTGTTCGCGATGAAGGGGAATAGTGGGCATGCTCCAAGCGTCGGTTCCCCCCCCATTATAGCGCACTGCACGGTTAGAGTCCTTATTCTCAGGTGATGCCTTTACACTCCCAAAACCGTGGTCCCCATTGGTGTCTTGGGAGAATCAAGATCCTTTGCGTTGGCGTGCATGGGTTTAAGGATTCTGGGTGTTCAGGGCTTCCAGGTTTTGAGAGGTTGTGGTGTTCGTGTAGGGTTCAAGAATTGTAGTGTTCATATCGGGTGTAGTTGGTTGAGGGTTTTAGGGTTTACCCTGTTTAGGGTTGAGTAGCAGTGGTCGCCCGCGTATCAATGAAGCACACTTTTTCAAGAGTAGCAACGCAGTTCTTTTCCCAAGTAGTCCCCAGCGTATAGGCTCAACTACTGATACTTAGCTCAGTTATCGTTTGTCTGGTTCATGATAGCGTCGCCCTTGCAAAAGAGACCGTTCAAGAAGGGGGCCGGGGCCGCCGTAACAAAAACACCCGTCTTCCCAAAACTTGGTCCGGTGACATGGGACGAGGTTTTCAATCACGTCTTCGGAAGTGGGCCAGAGGGTAGCCACAGCGTTTTGGACAAGTGCCCTGGCTGCTGGCTCCTTCTGAGGTGGTTGTTCTGGCAATCACCCATACTAAGAAAGACAAGGACTACCAGGACCCCCCAGGCTCTTTGGCTAGACCTCTTGCAGAAGCTTCACACTGACCATACTTATCTAACTGGTCGCAGCTCCAGATTCCGGCCCTCCTTTTACTTTTCTCTAGCTTGGCATGTATTGTGGATCATGCAGCATATCCCGCTTGTAGGATTCTCACCATCAGGGACATGTAGAGACGAGGCCTTGGCGCATGACAGCCATATTCATATTCCCTGGTCATTTGTCGCGCCTGCTTGTTGGACGATTGTGTTTCACTTGCCCTAGGATGGGGTGGGGGACGAGCAAGTGTGGTCCTGGATACCTCGAAGAAACCCCTAACGATTCTCTGAAGCAATCGAAAAGACGGGCAAAACCAGATTCACGCATCGTTTTGGGGTCACCACGCTGGTTGGCTACCTTGAGAGTTTTGGAATGCAGAAGCAGGTCCATTGCCAGAACATTGAAAGGGCTGAGTTGCAGATCCTTCAGGTGTGTCCCAGGGTACTACCTCCGGCGCAGTGAAGACGGGCGGGTCGAGAACTCCACCTGCATGATGCTTGGCGGTCCATGACGCACAGGTTTCTCTACTGTGCTTAGGGCGCCCACGGAAGTGTTTATCGCTATACGTGCATAATTTCAGCTGTTGTGAAAAATGCATGTGCTAGGCTGACTAGATTCTCTGCAGGAGCCACACGCAGCCGTGAAAAAAACGCAAAAAAGCTAGCAAGGATTGATTGGCGCCTGACAAGCCTAACAACAGCATCATACGGCCACCCTGATCGAGAATTTGAGGTTTTGAAAGCGAAGGGTTCAGTAAGATTTGATTAGATGTAGCATTTGTTGGGTTGGGCTAGAAGTGGCGCACTTAGGAACAACACGGCTACTGAGCGCTACATGATGGCGATTCCGGCACGCTTGGATGAGTCACAAACAGTCATCAAGTTCTCAGAGCCAGGGTTCAACTCTTTCCAAAAGAGTTAGTAACTATGGAGCTATAGTCTAAACTCCTT